GACATCCTTTGGTAATGCCAGCTCTGTGCACCTACATAGATTTGAGACCCTGCATATAATTGCTTAAGCAAAATAATAGTCACAGGCAACATTTGGTGAGCTCTTACTATGTGTCAGGCCATATCCAAACAGCTCACATGAGACCATACACAGATATAAAAGAAGGGTGTGGGCTGTCTGTCGGTAAGTGTGTGTGCATGTGTGTGTGTATGTGTGTGTGTTCTGGAGTCACACACCCATATCTCTACCATCCTGAACCTCACATTACAACTAAACACGTAAGGATGAAGCGTTTGTGGTGCTGCCAGGAGCATGTAACGTGCATCACTAGCTAAATATGGAAATTAAACCATGAGTCTTCCTGGAACAGACTCCAGGATTACCCTTAGGGTCTGTTTCCCTAAATTCAATTACCACATAATTACCACATAAACTCTCCTGAAACTCTCACAGATGGACCAAGTGAGGAGTGAGGGGGCAACAGGACCCCAGAGCAGCTAATCACCTGTGTGTCTGCCTTTGCCATGGTGGGGAGGAAGGGAACAGCCTGAGTCCCGGCCGCTATTCTGCAGCCTCAGCACTGAGGCCCCTCGGGGCGGCTCAGAGCCCCTCCTTGGTCTGCAGGCCCTGCTAACAGCTGTAGTGCAGGAATAAGCTTCAGTGTCCAAAAGCCTCCATCATGCATGCACACACGTGCACACTCAGGAATCTGTACACATACATCCTCAAGGCAACTGATTCTAAGGTATTTAGGATGTGTACACGGGTTACGGGACAGCATAAAATACCCAGACATGCCCCTCACCTTTCATGGTGGTCAAGGCCAATGCATAATTGTATGTTACAGTGTGCAACTGATTGACGATGAGTTTGGGGGAGGCAGTAGATACTGCAGAGTTCAAGCACTGCCAGTTCTGGTAAAGGCTGGAATAATCCAGAACAATTTCAGGCAAAGACCCACAGAACCCTGGAAACTGGAAGCCTGGTCCCTAGAGACAGATAAGGCTGGCTCTGAACCCATTTCCCTATTAACTGGATGTTTGACCTTGGACAGGTCACTCAAGCCTCTAAGCCTTTGTTCTACCGCCTGTAAGAGGGGGACCAGGAGAGGACCTACCTCATGGAGATGAGTGGGAATTGAACAAGATGGTACTTCTGAAGTTCCCAGCAGGTAATGAACACTGGATCAAGGCCAGGGGTATCTGCAATTACAAACTAAAGAGAGGAGTGGGCCACAGGAAATGGACACTTGTGTCCAAGAATAACTATTTCCTCTTTAGAATTTTCACCTCTGATAAACAGCAAACATAACCCAGAACCATAGAAGAAACTTGTTTCAGAAAGCACAGCATTTGATCTGTACAAGTGCAGGCTCGGCTGCTCAGCCCTGTCCTAACTCTCTCATGTCCCAGGGTCATTCTCAGTGACCCGGGATAAAGCTGGAGGGGCTGTGGAGGAAGCCCCAGGTCAGCGGGTAGCTCGCCAAGCCAGGAGTGAGGGGGCATACAGAGGGTGGTGGTGCCTGCTGCGTCATGGCAAGCAGGAGGCAGGGAGGGCTGGCAGTCATGGAGAGGTAAACCTCACTGGGTACCTGTCCCTCCATCTAGCTGAGCTCCCAGCCAGAAGTCATTAGAAGACATGTGGATCTGACATGGAATGTTTAACAGTTGCTGGTAAAAAAAATAACTCGGTGTTTGCTTGGGGGATTTTCCAGAAGTCTCAAGGCTCTCTGATGCCCCAGTTCATCCTCACTATCAGAGCCTCTGAAGGTGCTCAGGAAACTGAGGTGTAGGAAGGAAAGGTTTTTGGTGAGGGGGTTGGATGCTGCAGCCAGATCTGTTCTGCCCTCCTTCCGTGTTCTAGAAATTTGCTGTTCATGGTGGGCAGGAGCGGGGAGGGGCCTCAATTCAGGAGCCCAAGGTGGGCCAGCAGATGGAGGGACCCCTTTGTCTAGGCCACTCCCAGGCACACTCCCCCACCTTAACCCACAGGTGAGGGCCCCACTGTCATCCAGCGACCATTCTGTGCCACACAGACAGACTCCATGTCCCATGATAAGTGCACTTGCAGGACTTCGCGGTTCAGCTCTCTGTACCCCCTCTTGCTTATGGGGATGAGACTCCCAGTGGGCAGGGACAGACCACGTAGGCTATTCAGGATGCCCAGTAAAGCTGAATTCACATAAACAATGCATTTATTCTTTTTTAGTATTAGTATATCTCAAATATTTCATGAGCTATACTTATACTAAAATATTATGCATTGTCCATCTGAAATTAAAACTCAATGGTGCATCCTAGATTTTTACATGCTCAGTCTGGCAATCCTACCTCCAAGCACACCAGTGGGATCCCAGGGTGGAGCAGTGAAGGGCTGGGCAAACCTCAAAGGGCTGAAAATGAGTTAGGGAAGGTGTAGGCGAGAGCCTGAAACTGGCTGGCAAGGGACCAGCTTCCGAGAGGTGGATGAATACACAAGTGCCCCTCTCTTTGCTGTGGGTCAGCCCCAGCCAATATGCTCAAGGCTCAGCCCCATTAGAAAGGCTGATTTGGAGAAAACAACAACAAAGATGTTTGGGTCTCTTACTGTGCAGGGTGAGGATCCCAGCTTTCTGCTTTCCTTCTCTCCCCAGAACTTGGGCTCAAAGAGGTTTTATGAGATCCTTTGCTTCTGAAGGGCTGGGCATGAACAGACATCTACCCCCTGCCTTAGGAAGAAGCGATCCACACCAAGAGGAACGGGGGCTGCAGGACTCTGTAACAACAGGCCCCGACCCTCTTTGAACGTCCCCAGGTATCAGACACATCTCTGTCCAAGAGGTCTGGGGGGCCATTTGCCACGGGGTACCTCTCTGCGGGATGGTGGATCAGACAGCTTGGTTCTAGAATCAGTGCAGAATCGGATAGCAGCCACGCGCCCTGGACGAACTGTTCCGCCATCAGAATCTGACGCTCATTCCACAGAGAACTTCAGTCCCTCAAGTGGTACCTGGCATGGCCCAGAAGCTCACACGAGAGGGTCCTGTCCCTCTCGGGCCAGAGGGGTTCTGGGATGCTCTTGGGTCTGGCACCAGGTTGGCAATCCCTGCAGATCTTCCTGCTTCTGTCCCATTGTCATCCATGTGACCTCAGGTTCCAGGCTCTTCCTAGGGCTGCCCTCCCCGAAGACCCACCCCAGAAAGTCAGCCACCAGGCCCTGTTTTCAAGGCCTCAGGCCACCTGCAGGCCACACCTGTCCTCCAGTGGCAGCGTATCCTTTCCTTCCCCTGCTCTCCAACAGCGCCATCCTCTGCTCCCCAGTCTCAGCCTGGCAGAGGCCACCCACTGGGCCCAAGGGACACCTGCAGGGGCCAAGGCTTACTCCCAAGCCACTAACAGTGCAGACCTGAACAGGGGCTCTTCTCCCCACTCTCGATTTTTAAGTTCTCCTCTACCAGAAAAACAGGGAGACGCAATCCCGGCCTGGCATGCGCCTTTGTGTACCAGCCAGTGAAGGACAGGCCCGATTCTAGTGCTGAGCAGGCAGTCTGCCAGGAGCAGTCAAGATCACCCCTCCCTCCAATCCCAGGGTGGCAAAGGGCATTCATTACACAGAGGGGGAGGGGGAGTGTTTAACTCACTCTAAAGGGGCTGGGGTGATGGGGGGAGTGGGAGGGACAGCTCACAAAAGCCAGGGCTACAAACTCCCAACGGTTTTTTTTCTCAGAACTTCCCTTCCCTCTCTCCCCTCCTCCCCGCTGGGCTCCCCTCCCCCACCTCCAGCCGCTGGTGGCCTGCAGCCAACACTGGCCACACTGTCCGCATTCAGGCCTCCCCGCCCTCCTGGCCCTCTATCTCTTCCCCTGGCCTTCCCAACCTCGGGCTCTCTGCTCCCCCCGCCCCCCATTCTGAACCACGGTGACCTCCTCCGCCCAGGCGTCCTGCACAGGCTCGGCCCCCCAGTCTCAGGCCGGCAGGCGAGAGGCTTTGGAGGCCAGGAGCAGTCCCGCGCCCACCAGGCCCCCAGCCCCGCGGCCCCTGGCCCTTCTCGTCCACCCCAGCCAGGAGGAAGATCGCTGCGTCTGCAGAAAGCTGGCCCCGGCCTCGGCATTCCCGGGTCGCGGCTTCCTGGCTGGGAGAGCCGCACCTCTGAGTCCGGCCCACTCCCCTCGCCCCACTCTGGACCCTTAACCCCTTCCTGCCCCGCGACACCAAGGGCCCCACCCTCGCCACCCCAAGCAGGATGTGTGAGATGGGGTCCTACAGTTCCCCGCGAAGGAAGTGGGGGTGGGCAGGCCTCGCTCGCTAGGCCTCGTCCCCCTCCTCCTCACCCTCCTCCTCGCAGGAAGCCCCCCGCCCCCTGCCCCAGCCGCGCTCGCTGAGCCTCCAGTCAGAGCCTCTGGCCTGGTGGTTTCCGGGGAGAGCGCCTGGCAGAGAAAGAGCCTCGGCGGCTTCTTCGGTGGGGCGGGGCCAGCGATGCCAGCAAGGGACGCGGGAGAGGGTGGGACGGTCCCGTCCCAGCAGAACCTGCCCTACCCCGCAGCGATTATGGAGAAGGAACACCCGTGCCCCACCAGGGCCAGCGCCTGGGTGTTTTGCCCCTGAGGGGTGGGGGGCAAAGATCAGCAGGTGCCAGGCGGGTGCGGCGAGGACGCTAGCCCCACCCACGTCTCTGTCCGCTCGCTCACCCGTGCACCCCTTCCCCCACCGCGCGGATCCCCGGGTTTGCCCGTGCCGCGGGCACCCGCGTGAAAGCTCTGGGCGGGCGAGCCGGCAGCCCCCCACCCCCCGCAGGAATTCCCCTCTCCATTGGAGCGCCTCTCACTTCCGGGGAGCCGGGTCACTCCTCTGCCGCGGGTGCCTCTGCCCGCGAAACCAGTCGGCTGTGCTTTTTGCAAAGGTTTAATGCAGGACGCGATAGGTTTCCTTCCCAAGCCCTGAGCGGAAGTGGGGTGGGCAGAGGGATCCAGCCGCGTCCTGAGCCTCCGACGTTCCCTCTGCGCTCATCTCAAACAGCGAAAATGCACCTTCAACATCTCCATTTAATATTTACATTCAAGCAGGTAATAATTGGAAGCTTATAGTTTAGACATTTCTAGTAGCAGCAGTTTCTAAAGAGCTCGTTTAGCCTTTTAACAAACTTTTTTTTTTTTTTTGCACATAGAAACAACACATCCATGTGTACAGTATCAAAAAATATATACCAAGGTTACCGGTATCGCAGTTCCTGGAAGGGGAGGAAATGAAATCAACCGAAATACTGAATGAACGGGAAGAAAGGTCAACAGAAAATAGTTTGGTATAGAATATAACGTGATCTAGAGGAAACTCCATAAATCTAGGTTTTTATATTTCAATATATAAATACCTACAAATAAATATATATATATCAGCCCGAAGAGGGTGGTGGGGCCTTTTGCGCTCAAACAATACATTTCAATAATAACACCACGTACAAACGGGAGTAAAGTCTGCACTTGACAAGTTAGCACGGGTAAAATATAATACTATAACTCTGAGACCGCCGCGCGTGGCTGCCCTGTCAGTCCCGGAGGTCCCACGCGAGGATGGGGCAGATGGGGGGCGGGATACGCAGGCACCGCGCGGAAGGGGCCCGTGCGGGGCAGGGGCTGGCCGGGCGCCCCAGCCAGGACCGGACAGCGGGACGCGGAAGGACGCGCTCGGCGATTCCAGCGTCCTGGGGCTGGGGGCCGGCCGGGATCTCCCGTGGTCGGCAGGAAGAGAGGTCCACGCCCTGGCCCCAGGTGTTAAGCCTCCGCAGGACGGCCCTTCCCCTTCCGAGGCCTCCGGCTACACCATCACGTACTCCTTGAACGTGACGGTGAGGCAGTTCGCGGTGACGTCGGTGATAATTATATTCCCAAAGAAGGGCTTGAACTCGCTCAGCGGCTCCTCGGGCTCGTCCTGGGCCTCGGCCGGAGGCTTCTCGGCCGCTGTCGCTGGCGCAGCTGCCGCCGCCGCCGCCGCCGCAGCAGCAGCAGGCGCCTCGGGCTTCACTTGAAGGGCGCTGGGCGGCTCCCCAGCCTCGCCGCGTGTCTTGACGCAGCGCAAGTCTATGGGCTCGTCCAGATCCGAGTCCAGCAGGATGACCTCCGGCTGCGGGAGGGCGGTGGTGGCGGTGGGGGGTACATCTGCAGGGCGCTCGGCTGCCGGGCTACCGCCCAGGCAGGTGGGGGTGCTGATGCTCCGCGCGGTCAAGCGCTTCTTGCAGGGCTCCCGCTCGCCGTGGGTCTCGGAGAGGCAGCGCTTGCGCGCGTGGGACAGATTTAGGCCGACCGCGTGGTGGTGGTGGTGATGGTGGTGGTGGTGGTGGTGGTGGTGGGAGGGCGGGTGCGCGCTCCGGGCCGGGTCCCAGGCCAGCAGGTCAGGCTTGGTTGTGAGTTGCAAGGGTTGCTCTCCGAAGGCCTCCTTGGTCGGGGAGAGCTTGCGGGAGCTGGCGTCCTGGGGCTGTGGGTCACCGGCCCCGGGGGCCTCCTCCTCCCTCCTCTTGGAGGGCGCATCTGCCTTCTTCTCCTCGGCTCCTGGTGCCTTTTTGAAAGTCCTGTCAGCCGGGGTATGGCGCTCCTCCGTGGCGCGCTTCTTGTGGCTGGGGGAGCGGGCCTCGCCCTCTGCCGCCTCCCCGGACTTGATCTTCACGGCCTGCATACCATTCTCCATGTATTTGCTCATCACGATCACGATGCGGCCGTTCTTGTTCTTGTTCTTGACTATCTTCATCTTGCCCCCAATCCCGTTGCCCGTCACCGCCTCCTTGGGGGCCGGCGTCATCCCGTTGGGGGGACCCTTCTCGGACCCCTTGCCTGGAGTGCCGGCCGCACCGGCCAGTGGCTTCACGGCTCCCAGATAGCCCTTGGCTCCTGCGCTGTGGGCCCACTTGTCGGGAGGGTGGCTCTTGGCGCCCAGGTCCGGGCAGGTGGGGCTGGGCGCCTCCTTGTGGCCTCCCTGGTACTGCAGGTCGTACATCTTGGGGTCGGGCTGGTAGGGGTGATGCTTCTTGCTGTTCAGCTGGTAGTAGTATTTGCCGCTCTTGCCGGGAGGTGGGGGCTTGCCTGCCCGCTCCTTGCTGTGTGGCTGGTACTGGTGGTGCTTCTTGCTGTTAAGCTCGTACTGATGCCCCTGGCCCTTCCCCTGAGCTCCCAGCTCCAGCTTGGCTCGGTTGTCCGCAGAGGAGTCCTGCAGTCCGGTCAGCACATTGGAGCGACGGGCGAAGGTAGGTACCTGGGGGAACAGAGCAGGGATGGGAGAAGGAGGTATAAAGTCAGCCCCCAGAGCACGTCTTGAGCATCAGGAGCGCCCCACAGGGTCGGTAGCTGCTTAAGGGTGGCAGGGTGTGGGGAGGTCGAGTGGCAAGGAGTGGAATTGGGTGCCCCGGAGAAACTTCCCCCCGCCTCCGGGCCTGGAGGCAGCTCACGGAGCATGCAATGTCTAGGGAAAGACTCGTGGGCAGCCCCAGGGCCAGTGAGTGTATTCACCTGCACCACCAGAGGTTTGGGCTTTGGCCCTCTCTTCCGATATCCCATCAGCTGCTCCTGCCGTTCTCTGGGGGAAGGGAACAGAACTCAGTGCTATTAGCCTCAGCGTCGCCTTCCGTCTGCGTTGCCCTAACCTGCAGTAGGACTGCCCCCCAACCACCCTTTTGGCGAGCAGCCGGGCCAGCAAGACCCGGAGGGATCGAAAGCTCAGGGCAGAAGGTCGTCTCTGCCGCCAGCTGGGCGCCTCGGTCAAGTCCCAGAGCCCAGCTTTTCACTTGCAGCGACCCCCATCTGCCCAAGGGGTCCTCAGCGAAGAGCTCTACCATCTCTGATGTCCTCACCTGGACTGCCGCCCCCCTATGTCGGGGAGGCGGCAGCTCCCGGCTGGGTCGCTGGCACTGGCGACCACAGCCTTGGCCCGCGGCCCTGCGCAAGGCGCAGTGGATGCGGGGGTCCAGGGACTGCGGACAGGTCCAAACGAGGTGTGTGCCGACCACGTCCCTCCCCGTCAGAGGCATGGGATGCTAATGACCTCATTAAGATTCAGATAACGAGTGCCGCCGGCAGAAGGGAGCACTCGTTTTCCTAAAGGCAGTGCACTAAACAGGGGGAGGGGCTGCGCCCTTGTTTACACAGCGGCAAATGAGCCAATTAGGGGCTGGGGGCGGGGGCCGGCCGCCTAGGCTAGGGCTCGGCCAGGTTAGCAGCCACCAGGTGAACAGAGCCTGAAACTGGCTGGCAAGGGACCAGCTTCCGAGAGGTGGATGAATACACAAGTGCCCCTCTCTTTGCTGTGGGTCAGCCCCAGCCAATATGCTCAAGGCTCAGCCCCATTAGAAAGGCTGATTTGGAGAAAACAACAACAAAGATGTTTGGGTCTCTTACTGTGCAGGGTGAGGATCCCAGCTTTCTGCTTTCCTTCTCTCCCCAGAACTTGGGCTCAAAGAGGTTTTATGAGATCCTTTGCTTCTGAAGGGCTGGGCATGAACAGACATCTACCCCCTGCCTTAGGAAGAAGCGATCCACACCAAGAGGAACGGGGGCTGCAGGACTCTGTAACAACAGGCCCCGACCCTCTTTGAACATCCCCAGGTATCAGACACATCTCTGTCCAAGAGGTCTGGGGGGCCATTTGCCACGGGGTACCTCTCTGCGGGATGGTGGATCAGACAGCTTGGTTCTAGAATCAGTGCAGAATCGGATAGCAGCCACGCGCCCTGGACGAACTGTTCCGCCATCAGAATCTGACGCTCATTCCACAGAGAACTTCAGTCCCTCAAGTGGTACCTGGCATGGCCCAGAAGCTCACACGAGAGGGTCCTGTCCCTCTCGGGCCAGAGGGGTTCTGGGATGCTCTTGGGTCTGGCACCAGGTTGGCAATCCCTGCAGATCTTCCTGCTTCTGTCCCATTGTCATCCATGTGACCTCAGGTTCCAGGCTCTTCCTAGGGCTGCCCTCCCCGAAGACCCACCCCAGAAAGTCAGCCACCAGGCCCTGTTTTCAAGGCCTCAGGCCACCTGCAGGCCACACCTGTCCTCCAGTGGCAGCGTATCCTTTCCTTCCCCTGCTCTCCAACAGCGCCATCCTCTGCTCCCCAGTCTCAGCCTGGCAGAGGCCACCCACTGGGCCCAAGGGACACCTGCAGGGGCCAAGGCTTACTCCCAAGCCACTAACAGTGCAGACCTGAACAGGGGCTCTTCTCCCCACTCTCGATTTTTAAGTTCTCCTCTACCAGAAAAACAGGGAGACGCAATCCCGGCCTGGCATGCGCCTTTGTGTACCAGCCAGTGAAGGACAGGCCCGATTCTAGTGCTGAGCAGGCAGTCTGCCAGGAGCAGTCAAGATCACCCCTCCCTCCAATCCCAGGGTGGCAAAGGGCATTCATTACACAGAGGGGGAGGGGGAGTGTTTAACTCACTCTAAAGGGGCTGGGGTGATGGGGGGAGTGGGAGGGACAGCTCACAAAAGCCAGGGCTACAAACTCCCAACGGTTTTTTTTCTCAGAACTTCCCTTCCCTCTCTCCCCTCCTCCCCGCTGGGCTCCCCTCCCCCACCTCCAGCCGCTGGTGGCCTGCAGCCAACACTGGCCACACTGTCCGCATTCAGGCCTCCCCGCCCTCCTGGCCCTCTATCTCTTCCCCTGGCCTTCCCAACCTCGGGCTCTCTGCTCCCCCCGCCCCCCATTCTGAACCACGGTGACCTCCTCCGCCCAGGCGTCCTGCACAGGCTCGGCCCCCCAGTCTCAGGCCGGCAGGCGAGAGGCTTTGGAGGCCAGGAGCAGTCCCGCGCCCACCAGGCCCCCAGCCCCGCGGCCCCTGGCCCTTCTCGTCCACCCCAGCCAGGAGGAAGATCGCTGCGTCTGCAGAAAGCTGGCCCCGGCCTCGGCATTCCCGGGTCGCGGCTTCCTGGCTGGGAGAGCCGCACCTCTGAGTCCGGCCCACTCCCCTCGCCCCACTCTGGACCCTTAACCCCTTCCTGCCCCGCGACACCAAGGGCCCCACCCTCGCCACCCCAAGCAGGATGTGTGAGATGGGGTCCTACAGTTCCCCGCGAAGGAAGTGGGGGTGGGCAGGCCTCGCTCGCTAGGCCTCGTCCCCCTCCTCCTCACCCTCCTCCTCGCAGGAAGCCCCCCGCCCCCTGCCCCAGCCGCGCTCGCTGAGCCTCCAGTCAGAGCCTCTGGCCTGGTGGTTTCCGGGGAGAGCGCCTGGCAGAGAAAGAGCCTCGGCGGCTTCTTCGGTGGGGCGGGGCCAGCGATGCCAGCAAGGGACGCGGGAGAGGGTGGGACGGTCCCGTCCCAGCAGAACCTGCCCTACCCCGCAGCGATTATGGAGAAGGAACACCCGTGCCCCACCAGGGCCAGCGCCTGGGTGTTTTGCCCCTGAGGGGTGGGGGGCAAAGATCAGCAGGTGCCAGGCGGGTGCGGCGAGGACGCTAGCCCCACCCACGTCTCTGTCCGCTCGCTCACCCGTGCACCCCTTCCCCCACCGCGCGGATCCCCGGGTTTGCCCGTGCCGCGGGTACCCGCGTGAAAGCCCTGGGCGGGCGAGCCGGCAGCCCCCCACCCCCCGCAGGAATTCCCCTCTCCATTGGAGCGCCTCTCACTTCCGGGGAGCCGGGTCACTCCTCTGCCGCGGGTGCCTCTGCCCGCGAAACCAGTCGGCTGTGCTTTTTGCAAAGGTTTAATGCAGGACGCGATAGGTTTCCTTCCCAAGCCCTGAGCGGAAGTGGGGTGGGCAGAGGGATCCAGCCGCGTCCTGAGCCTCCGACGTTCCCTCTGCGCTCATCTCAAACAGCGAAAATGCACCTTCAACATCTCCATTTAATATTTACATTCAAGCAGGTAATAATTGGAAGCTTATAGTTTAGACATTTCTAGTAGCAGCAGTTTCTAAAGAGCTCGTTTAGCCTTTTAACAAACTTTTTTTTTTTTTTTGCACATAGAAACAACACATCCATGTGTACAGTATCAAAAAATATATACCAAGGTTACCGGTATCGCAGTTCCTGGAAGGGGAGGAAATGAAATCAACCGAAATACTGAATGAACGGGAAGAAAGGTCAACAGAAAATAGTTTGGTATAGAATATAACGTGATCTAGAGGAAACTCCATAAATCTAGGTTTTTATATTTCAATATATAAATACCTACAAATAAATATATATATATCAGCCCGAAGAGGGTGGTGGGGCCTTTTGCGCTCAAACAATACATTTCAATAATAACACCACGTACAAACGGGAGTAAAGTCTGCACTTGACAAGTTAGCACGGGTAAAATATAATACTATAACTCTGAGACCGCCGCGCGTGGCTGCCCTGTCAGTCCCGGAGGTCCCACGCGAGGATGGGGCAGATGGGGGGCGGGATACGCAGGCACCGCGCGGAAGGGGCCCGTGCGGGTCAGGGGCTGGCCGGGCGCCCCAGCCAGGACCGGACAGCGGGACGCGGAAGGACGCGCTCGGCGATTCCAGCGTCCTGGGGCTGGGGGCCGGCCGGGATCTCCCGTGGTCGGCAGGAAGAGAGGTCCACGCCCTGGCCCCAGGTGCTAAGCCTCCGCAGGACGGCCCTTCCCCTTCCGTGGCCTCCGGCTACACCATCACGTACTCCTTGAACGTGACGGTGAGGCAGTTCGCGGTGACGTCGGTGATAATTATATTCCCAAAGAAGGGCTTGAACTCGCTCAGCGGCTCCTCGGGCTCGTCCTGGGCCTCGGCCGGAGGCTTCTCGGCCGCTGTCGCTGGCGCAGCTGCCGCCGCCGCCGCCGCAGCAGCAGCAGCAGGCGCCTCGGGCTTCACTTGAAGGGCGCTGGGCGGCTCCCCAGCCTCGCCGCGTGTCTTGACGCAGCGCAAGTCTATGGGCTCGTCCAGATCCGAGTCCAGCAGGATGACCTCCGGCTGCGGGAGGGCGGTGGTGGCGGTGGGGGGTACATCTGCAGGGCGCTCGGCTGCCGGGCTACCGCCCAGGCAGGTGGGGGTGCTGATGCTCCGCGCGGTCAAGCGCTTCTTGCAGGGCTCCCGCTCGCCGTGGGTCTCGGAGAGGCAGCGCTTGCGCGCGTGGGACAGATTTAGGCCGACCGCGTGGTGGTGGTGGTGATGGTGGTGGTGGTGGTGGTGGTGGTGGGAGGGCGGGTGCGCGCTCCGGGCCGGCTCCCAGGCCAGCAGGTCAGGCTTGGTTGTGAGTTGCAAGGGTTGCTCTCCGAAGGCCTCCTTGGTCGGGGAGAGCTTGCGGGAGCTGGCGTCCTGGGGCTGTGGGTCACCGGCCCCGGGGGCCTCCTCCTCCCTCCTCTTGGAGGGCGCATCTGCCTTCTTCTCCTCGGCTCCTGGTGCCTTTTTGAAAGTCCTGTCAGCCGGGGTATGGCGCTCCTCCGTGGCGCGCTTCTTGTGGCTGGGGGAGCGGGCCTCGCCCTCTGCCGCCTCCCCGGACTTGATCTTCACGGCCTGCATACCATTCTCCATGTATTTGCTCATCACGATCACGATGCGGCCGTTCTTGTTCTTGTTCTTGACTATCTTCATCTTGCCCCCAATCCCGTTGCCCGTCACCGCCTCCTTGGGGGCCGGCGTCATCCCGTTGGGGGGACCCTTCTCGGACCCCTTGCCTGGAGTGCCGGCCGCACCGGCCAGTGGCTTCACGGCTCCCAGATAGCCCTTGGCTCCTGCGCTGTGGGCCCACTTGTCGGGAGGGTGGCTCTTGGCGCCCAGGTCCGGGCAGGTGGGGCTGGGCGCCTCCTTGTGGCCTCCCTGGTACTGCAGGTCGTACATCTTGGGGTCGGGCTGGTAGGGGTGATGCTTCTTGCTGTTCAGCTGGTAGTAGTATTTGCCGCTCTTGCCGGGAGGTGGGGGCTTGCCTGCCCGCTCCTTGCTGTGTGGCTGGTACTGGTGGTGCTTCTTGCTGTTAAGCTCGTACTGATGCCCCTGGCCCTTCCCCTGAGCTCCCAGCTCCAGCTTGGCTCGGTTGTCCGCAGAGGAGTCCTGCAGTCCGGTCAGCACATTGGAGCGACGGGCGAAGGTAGGTACCTGGGGGAACAGAGCAGGGATGGGAGAAGGAGGTATAAAGTCAGCCCCCAGAGCACGTCTTGAGCATCAGGAGCGCCCCACAGGGTCGGTAGCTGCTTAAGGGTGGCAGGGTGTGGGGAGGTCGAGTGGCAAGGAGTGGAATTGGGTGCCCCGGAGAAACTTCCCCCCGCCTCCGGGCCTGGAGGCAGCTCACGGAGCATGCAATGTCTAGGGAAAGACTCGTGGGCAGCCCCAGGGCCAGTGAGTGTATTCACCTGCACCACCAGAGGTTTGGGCTTTGGCCCTCTCTTCCGATATCCCATCAGCTGCTCCTGCCGTTCTCTGGGGGAAGGGAACAGAACTCAGTGCTATTAGCCTCAGCGTCGCCTTCCGTCTGCGTTGCCCTAACCTGCAGTAGGACTGCCCCCCAACCACCCTTTTGGCGAGCAGCCGGGCCAGCAAGACCCGGAGGGATCGAAAGCTCAGGGCAGAAGGTCGTCTCTGCCGCCAGCTGGGCGCCTCGGTCAAGTCCCAGAGCCCAGCTTTTCACTTGCAGCGACCCCCATCTGCCCAAGGGGTCCTCAGCGAAGAGCTCTACCATCTCTGATGTCCTCACCTGGACTGCCGCCCCCCTATGTCGGGGAGGCGGCAGCTCCCGGCTGGGTCGCTGGCACTGGCGACCACAGCCTTGGCCCGCGGCCCTGCGCAAGGCGCAGTGGATGCGGGGGTCCGGGGACTGCGGACAGGTCCAAACGAGGTGTGTGCCGACGACGTCCCTCCCCGTCAGAGGCATGGGATGCTAATGACCTCATTAAGATTCAGATAACGAGTGCCGCCGGCAGAAGGGAGCACTCGTTTTCCTAAAGGCAGTGCACTAAACAGGGGGAGGGGCTGCGCCCTTGTTTACACAGCGGCAAATGAGCCAATTAGGGGCTGGGGGCGGGGGCCGGCCGCCTAGGCTAGGGCTCGGCCAGGTTAGCAGCCACCAGGTGAACCGGCTCCGGCGCGGTCCTGGCGGGGCAGCGAGGCGGCAGGGCGGGGCGAGGGTGGCACGCAGAGGCACCGCCTCCTCCACGAGCCCGACTCCCAGCCGTCTAGATTTCCAAATTTTTAATAAAACCCACGGGCGGTGGCGCCGGTCAATACAGCTGCCAGGCTTCCGCCTGCGGCCTGGCGGAGGGAGCCCCGAGGCTGGGAGCGGATCGTCCCGGCACGGCCCAGCCCTCCATGGGAGAAAGGGATGCCTCCCCGGTGTCGGCCAAAGTTGCAGCCCAATCCCGGACCAGAAACCCGCTCTCCAAACCCTAGGCAACCCTACCACCCCACGGGCTAGCCCAGGGGAGGTCCGCCATACCCAGGGCCTGACTCCGAAGTTGCATGGCATTGCAACAGCCTGAGTTTTAATTCTTTGGGGACCCATTATGCAACATGGCATCAGCCGGTGACATGGTTACAGGGTGGTGAACTCCCAGGTGGAGCTGGGGCAGGATCCCTTCTCGGCGCCCCCCTGCGTCGCGGGAGAGCAACTTCCCCGCTGGTCGCTCACTCTGAGGGTCTAGAGTTTACAGTTTTAGCGCCAAACGCGCCACAGGAAATAATGCAAAATAAAAGAGGGAGGGGGGTGGCAGGCAGCGGGGTGGCCGGGCTCTGCGGACTCCTGCCGCTCCTCCCCCGCCCTACCCCCTCTTGTCCTCCCCGAAACAGAGAGCCACAGCCACCGGCGGTGAATCCAGCTGCGGCAGCTGCAGCGTGACAAGCATCTGTGCTCAAGAGGATGAGCCTCTGCTCAGAAGCCACCCCTCCACCACCAGGCAGCGCCCATCCTGCAGCCTTTAGGCCGAGCTCCCCCTGCCCTGGCCACGGGGGTTGAGACCCACCAAGTAGCCCAGTGGGGGCTGTGAAGGGCACCCAGCACCAAACAGACTCTGTCCCTTGCCTATCCCAAGCTCCCTGGGGTTGAGTGTGGGAGCCTAAGGCCTTGTCAACTTTTCTCCAGCCCCCAACAGGTTAAGTTCAGTTCCGTGACGTCCGGAGGTTTCACAATGCCAGCTCCCTTGGAGCTGCCCCGTGAGGTGCCGGTGCCAAGCGGCCAGTGGCTGCAGGAAAGCAACACCTAGGCTCTGGGGGTGGGGCTCCAAGGCTGCGACGGGAGGGGGGCCCGCAAAGTGCCGGGCGCAGCCCCGAGTGCTCCTGGCAGCTGTAGGGCCTCCCGCATGCACCCTTCCCAAAGTTCCCCCAAAACAAGCCTTGCCTTCTCGGCCCCGCCCCGCCCCCACCCCAGGCTGCCGCCACTGCCAAGGACGTTGGTTAGAGGAGCGAGGCCACAGCCCTGCCGGTTCGGGCCCGTCCGGGGAAGGGGGAGCTCCCACCGGCGCCGTCCCGGCCCTTTCCCCCTTCCCCACTGCGGCGTGGCCCACTCTCCCATTCCCATATACGGTCACGGCTGCCGGCGGCCTCTGCTTGGGGGACGCTCACCTGTTCTGGAAGGCGATCAGCAGCCGGGGATCCAGGATGTTCTCCTCGGGTTCCCACGTGTTATATCTTGCAAGGGAAAAGGGAGGGGGACACGGCGTAAAAAAAAACCGGGCCAGCTTTGCGGCCTCCAGGTGAGGAATGACATAAGGCCCCACTCTGTCTTCATGAACCGAAAGCTGTTTAGCTGCGGACTGGGAGGGGGGGGAAGGGTAGATTTCTTCGGGCCTGACGCGGTCCCTGATACACCGCCCCCCCAAGTCAAAATAAACACACAAGGGCAGGAAGAAAGGGGAGGAGTAAGGAAAATGAAACTAGCAGTTTATTTCGCAGTTGTCAAGAATTTTAAGCATGTTACTGCGACATGTTCCAAAGCCACTTTGCTCACCAGGAACCCTGCGTGCAAAGCAGCCGAATGGCCGAGTCACAGTCCCCCTCCTCTCCCTGGCCCCAAGTCTCCGCGAGGGCTTCAGCCGTTCTCCATTTGACCCCTAATCCGATCACCGCGAGCCAAACGGCCCCCCTACACCCCCTTGCGGCCCCGGAGTCCGCTGTCACGGGCAAGCACCCCCAAATACTCAGCAACACAAAAATATGCTTCTCCCTGTGTGTGTGAGTGTGTGTGTGCGTGTGCCTGCGCGTCTGTCTCCATCCGGTGCCTTCGCATTTCAAATTAAAAAAAAAAATTCCCCACCAAAAGCGCCGCAGTGACAGTTCCCAACATTTTCTGCCTTTTTTCTTCCTCTCCCTGCACCACCAGGAGGGAAGAGGCACACAATTGCATTTTCGTCGCTTTTTAATTTTTTTTTTTTTTTGGTTTTGCAATATGGAGCCGTTCGGTGGAGGGAAAGGGGAAAGGAGCCATTTTCTGCTGCACATCAGTCAGTGCCTGCGCCCTCCCTCCCTCCGCCGGCCTCCCCGGCTCGGCCCCGCGGCTCTCCAGCTCCGCCGGCTCCTTCCAGTGCATAAATTAGTGATGGCATTTCCCGGAGAGCGGAGCACAACCCAGGGCGCCGGGCTCGGGCTCGGCGGCGCGGCTTCCCCAGTGCCTGCCACCGACTTCCCCACCCCCTCCTCCTCCACCCCACCTCCACCCCGCCTCCCGTCCGCTCCCCCACCACCCCACCAGCTCGGCGGGTCGGGAGCCCGGGAGCCCCGCGCCTCGGCACCGCACGCCCCCGCCCCTCCGCCGCGACTTACTTGGGGGACCAGCCTCTCCATTTCACCAGATACTCCACTCTGCCCTGCGGAGGGAAGAGACAGCACTCCATCAGCTTCCGCGGGATCCCCGGCTCGGCCCGCAGCCTCCCCACCCCCTCCCCGCCTTCCCGCGGGCCCCTCCGGCCGCCGCTCCCTGCCGCCTCGCCGCCGCCCCCGCGCCGCCCTACCTTGCGGATCCGCTTCTTCTCGATGCTCTCCACCGCGAAGACGTGCTCGCCAACAGCTGGCAGCTCCATGACCGAGCCGCAGCGCGCCGGGGCGCAGGCGGCCGGCGCGGCTGCAGACGCTGCTGGCTCCCGCCGGCGTCCCGCTGCCGCCCCGGCCGAGGCGCCCCCTCCGCCCGCGCCGCCCGCGCCGCCGCCGCCGCTCGCCCAGCACAGCCCGGCCACCCGCCGCTGCCCGCGCCGCCCCGACTCCCGGCTCGCGCTCGCTCAGACAACTGAGCCCGGGCCGCGGCTGCACAAGAACTCATGCAAATCCGGACGTCAGCGGGCGGGGCCTCGCCGGGCCCAGCTCGGCGTCAGGGGGCGGGCCGCGGCCGGGATTGGCGCAGCCCGGCCTACCGGAGGCCCCGGGCCCGGCGGCGGAGGGAGGAGGAAGGACGCGGGAGGGGCCGGGAGGAGGAGGGTGCCGGGGCGGTGCAGGAGGAGGGAGCCGCGAACTCGGGAGAGGGAGGGAGCGGGACCCGGGAGGAGAGGTGTGCCGGTCGAGGGCGGAGAGAGGTGGGGCGCAGGACAGGGCCGGGAGGGTCTCGGCCGCGACCCCTGCCCGCAGCCCGGCGCCGGGGTCTGCCCCCTCGCCTCTCCCTCTCAGTGTGCATCGCCCGGGATCCCCTGCTGGGGGCCACGGAAGCATCCACTGCAGTTTCCAGTTGCACCGAATTGCGTCATGTGCAGATGCCTGGGGAGCTGCCGGCAGGGGGCGGGATCGGGGCTGGGGCAGTTGCGCCCCCAACCCTGAGGGCCGCGCCGCCCCGTCCGAGAGGCTTCGGGCATTTAGAAATGGGAGAGGAGTGGGAGAGAAAGGGCAGGGACAAGAGAGGACTGGGTGCAGTGGGGCGCTAGGGAGACCGCGGGAAAGAGTCGAGCAAGGGAATGGCGGAGCGGCCAGCCAGGGGCCCTAGCGCCCAAGAACCTTACCAGAAGGGGACTCGGAGTCCAGGCCCAGCCCGGATCCTGATCCGCCTGCAAGTTACCCTCGGCTCTCTCCCTGGCAGGGCAGGGGCGGTCTAGTTTCCAGCAGATTCACCCCATCCCGCGACCAAGCAGAATGAGAAGCAGGGAGTACAGCGAGGGTGTGCAGGGGATGTCCGGGTCCGCTTGGGGGCCCGAGGGTTTACGTGGGGTCCCCCATAGTCATCGAAAGGGAGCGGGGAGGCTCGAGAAGAGTTTGAAGCTGAGCAGGGGCACATCGGGGCTCCACGAGGGGGAGGTGGGTGGAATGGCCCAGGAGCCAAGCTTTGCTTATGAATTCAAGTCCGCGGTACCCGACAGTCAGCCTAGCCGAGGCCTCCCGACGCAGGCGGAGAAGTCGCCGAGTGTGAAGTTTAGCACCTCCGGCGGCGAGACGGCGCGTTCTGGCGTGCGGCTCCAGCGTCCGGCTGGGGGAGCTGCTGCGCCCCACGCGGCCTCCCGAGGGCGCCGCCCGCGGGGCCGTGAGCTCGGTGGGGTCGGGCTGCGGGTGAGGGGACCTGGGGAGGAGGCAGGGCGGCTCGAGTGGGAGGTGCAGGGGTGCGCCGACACCGGGTGTGTCGGGGCCCCTGCTCCCGGCCCTTGAAGGACTGGGAGCAGGAACTTGCGCAATCCCTTGGCTGAGTGTCTGCGGAGAAAGAAAAAGCGCAGAAGCCAAAGCGAGAGAGGAGCGAGCGAGGGGGGAGCCGAGCAAAGAGCCATCCGGGCTCCCGCTCACGCCCTGACGCACGTCCCTGAATGCTAGGTGGGGGCTGAGCGGCGGCCTGAGCGAGCCAGGGAGGGCGAGGTGCCGAAGTGAACCCCCAAAGCCTGAGCGGGGCTCGTGTTCGTCCAGGGATCCGGGAGAATCCTGGAGACGGTCTGGTGTTCAAGAACGCACACGTTGTTTCCACCATTTCACCGCCACCGCGCAGCTCCGGCGGCGACTGCAGCCTGCTGCAGAGGCGGCCGCTGCCCAAGACGCCCGCGTGGATCCATCCCCGGAGGGGTCCTGGGAGCGGGGGTCGTTTCTGGCGGCACGGAGAGGTGCTCGGTCTGTAGAAACTGCAGACAAGCTTGAGAGGCAAACCCCAGATTCCCTGGGAGGTGGGGGGGGGCAGCCTAGGTGGGGAGAACGCCTGCCGGTACTCCGCGGGAAAGGAGGGGGGCTCCCGGGGTTTATAGAAGCTGGGGGAGGGGAATTCTTTGGGAGGGGGACACAAGGAAAAGGCTTTTCTCCTCCCGCTGCGTTTGGTTTTTTCCGACACTCTTGCCCAGGCCGAGGAGCTCTAGCCTGGGACAACCCAGCTGCAGAAGAGGAAGGGTCTCCGAAGCTGTCGCAGGAAGCGCCGTCAGGGCGACAGTCACCCTTCCACGCTGACCCAGCCCCAGGCCGTCGGCGCTGCCGATCTGTCAGGGATCTGCAGCGACCTTGTCTGGATAAACCCGTCGTTAGGGGAGGAGCTGAGCTTCCCGACACTCCGCCTGCCCGCTCACTAGAAAATCCCCTGGAAAAATCTGCTTCCAATGGGTGTTTCCGCGGCGTCCCGGTCAGGGGTCGCCCGGGGAGGGCTAGCTACCGCTGCAGCCTCCTTGACGCCAGGAGCGTCGGACTCCGCAGGCCGAGGCTCCGCTTGCTCTGCCCGAGCCCCTCCCCGGCCCACTCTCAGGACCTCGGGGGCCACGCAGCTGTACCCGGTGCCCCGACGGCAAGTTTGCGGAGGAGCCGGGCTGGGCCTGCGGCGGAGCTGGGGAGGAGTGGCTGCCGCCGGCCCCCACAGAGGATCTTTACTGTAGTTGCCCATGTGGTGGTTTGAGCAGCCGCCAGGCTCCCCTAGCCTGCAGGAGGGGACGCCCTGAAGCTCTTCAGAAGCCCTGACACCCCGGCCGCCCCCGCTCCTGGCCTTTCTGTGTAAAGTGACCGAAATGTAGAAGCACCCGCGGAACGCGGCAACCTGCCCCTTGGAGCGGTTGTTTATTTTGTCGCGGAGTGTAGGAGGATGTGGAGAGAGGCCAGCTCCCAGAAACCTAGACTTACCTCGGCGGCAGGCCCTCGACCACCCTTCACCTGCCGGCGGATGTGGGGAGCAGCTCAGGTCTGCCCAGGCACCGATGGGCTGTGTGGAGGAGGCAGAGACAGAATCTGAGGGGACGTGTGCGGGGGGGCGGGCGGGAGGGAAAGCGGCGAGAGTTCTGCAAGCTCCCCAGAGGCGCCCCGCGAACCCCTCCTGGGAAACCTCCCTTGGGCCTCCCCTACCACCGCACCCCCCTGCCTTGGCCCCTCGGAGGGAGCCTCGGGCGAGCTGAGCCCAAACTCGGGATTCCCAGGGCCTTCAGCTGTGGCCCCTGCCTCTCACCCGGGATGTCCCCAGCCCCGAAGGGGAACCCCGGAGAGGGTCGCGAGTCGGCGCATTTGACGCTGCCCTCTCTCAGCCAGGGTTAGATTGCACCCCAAGGTTCCTCCGAAGGGCAGAAGCCTTCTGGGTGCCACCTATAACTGGGGCCCCCAGGGGCCCTCAAGGGCCCCAAAAGAGGTGTTATGCTTTCCGGACTAGCCGCAGACTCCCGCTGGGAGTGCAGAAAGAAGGGCGAAACATCGGACCCCGGAGAAGCAGAACTTTTTAATGACCCTGGACCAAAGGGTGGTCACTGAGAGTCCAGGTCCCGAAGGGGCCTGACCCGCGCCAACCCGCTGAAATGAACGACTTCTTAGGTCCTCTTCCTAAATGGACGGACGCTCTCTGCAAGGAGAGGCCACCGCCCGCTCATGCAGCGCAGGTCTGGGATCTGCCCGGAAGGGGCCGCCTGTGACCGCCCTGGTCAGCAAAGCTCTAGGAGTTGGCGTGGCTCTCTAGGCCCCCAGAGTGGGTTTCAAACACCGGAGGGAGAATTTGCTAGCAACGACTACAAAACCTGCCCAGGCTTTGACAAGAGCTCATTTCTGTTCTCTATTGTTACTGCGGGAACTTGTCTTTGACCTCAGCATCAGCGTTTGTATCAGCAGTGGCTTTAGGGGAGCCGACCTGGTGGGATTGCGCGGGGGCGGGGGGCGAGGGGGAGAAGAGCGGGGAGCCGGCGTGGGAGCCCCGCACTCAGCCCCTGCACCCTCTCGGAGGGATGGCTCTGTTCCTAAGGGTCTCCCTCCTCCCTCTGGGTCCCCACCCCCATGTTTGTGCTTTGTCACACCTCCCACGCAGGGTCAGCTTGCAGTTGAGCGGCCAACCCCCTGATGGCCCCGAGTCCCTCCGCAGCAGGCCGCTGGGGCCTGGAACTGGGGCTCTGGGTGGAAGGGCCAGGCGGCGTGCACGGGCGGGGCAACGGGCCTGGAGCGTTGCGAGGCTGTGGCCCCTTGGGATTTCCTTGGGGCCACATCGGCGCCCACAGGACCTCGCCTCCGCATTTCAACACGCGGAGGTCGCAGGCGCGGAAGCGGGACGCGTTTTCTGCAATGTCAACCGGCCCGTCTTCTCCCAACGTCAGTGCAGCCCACCCAAGCTCGGTTGCGGGGCTCTCGCCGGCCTGGAGATCTGCGCCCCAGGATCCATATTTCAAACACCATCTTTGGAGCTGCTTCCGCCGCCCGCCGCCACGCACCCACAACGGCCTCCGCGTTCCGCGTTCGTTGGCCCAAGGTCTCTCCGCGGGCCTCGACTGCCCACCATGCTCGCCCTTCCACGCCCGCCCCTGCTTTTCGCTCTCGGATGCCCCGTTGCGCCCCCTGATCCCAGCGGGGCCCACGCACAGGGCCGATTTCTTTCTTTCCTTTTTCCAACTAAGAGCTGCTGCAGCAAACCCAGGGATGAAACCAAAACCCCCAGGCGGACCCCGAAGTGGCCGGTCGAGCGTTAACGGCTATCCCCTCTCCGCAGCCCAACTCGAGTGCCCCTCCAGACCCGCGGCGCTCTGGGGGTTAAGCGCGCGCCCGAGGGGGGTATCTGGCGAGCGGGGAGAGGCGGGGGTGGGGTGCCCGGCGCCGCTGGCCGGGGTAGCCGAGCTCGGTCTCGTTTCCCCCACCAACCCCCGAGTTGCCGGGCGGGCGCGATCGGGAGGACTCAGGGCTCCCCCGCCTCCCCGGCTGGCCGGGAGCCGGGCCTGGCCGCGGCCCGGAACCGCGAGGACGCTGTTCGGAGGCCGCGTCCTGAGCAGCCCAAGCGGGGGAGGGGGCGGAGGCGCGGGAGCGGCGGCCGCGCGTCGCCAGCGAGCCGATCGATCCCCAGGGGCGGGGGCGCGGCGAGGCCCGCCGGACACCTGGGGGGGGGCTGTCCCTGTAGGATCGAGGGGCGAATGGAGGGGGTGCCCAGGGATCTCGTGACCGTGGGATGGCGGCCGGGAGGGCCCAGCCAGAGCGCAGCTCGGCCTGCACTGCGGTGCGGAGGGCCGAGAGCCGAGGGCTGGGGGCGGGGGGCCGGGACTCGAGTGGCAACGCCCCGGGCATGCCCGGAGTCCCGTATTGTCTCTATCGGCCCCGTTTTGGCCACTTCCGGAGCTGAATCTGGCCCCCGTGGCACTGCCCCTCCATGTCCAGGCCTTCGTCCCCGCCCGATCCCCACTGCCGATGACAAGGTTGTGGGACGTGGTCACCCAGTCCATCCCCCTCACCTCTCACCCCGCCCTCCTGATCCTGTTAGAAATGGGTGGGTGTCCCCTCCACCTCAGGAAAGATCCCCCAGGTTTCCCCAAGAATTCCCCTCCCCAACTTCTTCCGAGGGGCAGTTTCTTGGGATGGTCCCTGAAGACGCTCGAGGTGTCTCCTTGGGCTCCCAACTCTGGCCGCGGCCTCACCTGCAGGTTCCAGGCACCCGGGAGGGGCCGGGGCAGGGGCGCCGAGGGGCCTGCACTCACCGCGCCCTCCCCTAGGGGGCGGGCTCCTCTCGGGCTGGCGGGAGGTTGGGGCCCGCGGAGTGGGCTGCCCCTCCGCGCCCAGCGCCCCTCCTGGAGTGGGAAGGAAACCTGCTGGCGGGCGAAGAGGGGGTCTCGTTGCAGAGCCGCGTGCGCCCCGCGTCTGGCACCCCTCCTCCCCCTCCCTCGGGCTGTGAGGCTGCTGGTTTTCCATCTGGAAACGACCGGCCCCACAGAGACCTGGAACTTCAGGCGCCCCGAACCCCCAGGCCTGAACCATCTCAGGGGCGAGGGCCTTGCTTCCCAAAAGGGCCCCTTGCTCAGCGCTCCTCTCCGTGAGAGGTCCACGGGGGGCGCATACGTACATCTTTTCAGCTGAGCTTTTTATAGGAAATCCCAGGTCAAGAGCATCACAAAACCGCTTGTTCTGCCAGCAAAGGGCCAGCAAAAAGCCAACTGGTATTACAGTGCAGATTTCCCCAGAGGTGCAAGCCAGCCGGCTTCAGGTAGCAATCAGTGCCCAGGGGGCCCGAACTGAAGCTCCACCGGGGTGTGATTCTGTTCCCTAAACGGAAGCTCACTGAAAATAAAAAGTTCTCTGGGCCCACAAATGCCACCTCTTAGAAGTGCCCTGCCAGTCCCTTGTAAGGGCTGCCCCCCTGGGTTGCTGACTGGAACGGGAAACACCCCAAGTAAGGGAAAGGGACCCCAAGTCCTCCTCCTCTGATGGACAATGGCCTTGAGAAAGGTGGGAGCTGGGTGGGAATATGTCTTGAGATTAGGTTCCAGAGAACATTAGTATTTCATTTTTCTAGGCGAGACCCCAGTGGAGGGAGTGCTGAGTGTGTGGCTGTGTGCGTGTGCACCAGTGCGCACACAGGCCCCGCCAGCCATCCTGCCTCTGGGCCCGCGGCTTTGCTCGCTCTCAGGCCCGGAGGCTCAGTGCCACCACCCATGACACTTTCAGAGGCTCACAAAAATGTTATTTATTTTTAAGAGAACGTTCTTTATTTTTTAAATTGTGGTAAAGTACATGCGATATGTAATTTACCATCTTAACCACTTAAATGCGCAGTTCAGTGGCAGTAAGTACACTCTCACATAGTTGTGTGACCATCGCCACCATCCAACTCCAGAGCTTTCTCATCCCGCCTGACAGAAGCTCTGTGCCCGTTAACCTCCCGCTCTCCCTCCCCGCCGCCTGTGGCGCCCACCATCCTATGTCCTGTTCCTATGAATTGACTAATAAGTACCTCCCATGAGTGGACTCCTACAGCGCCGTCCTTTGTGACTGGCCGATCTCACTCAGTATCATGTTCTCAAGGTTCATCCATGTCATGACATGTACCAGAATTTCCTTCCTTTTTAATGCTAAATCATATCCCATTGTATGTATTTTGTATGTATCTCATTTCTTTTAAAATCATGAGAAAAATCCTTAAGTTTGAAGAAAATGTTTCAATATGAATAATATGAATGTGTTCATCTTTATACCAGTGCAGTTATAAACTGGAATTTTGAGGACATTATTAAGGAGGAGGGGGCCCCCAAAGGCAAAAGTTCCCCAGGCCCAGGAAGGTTAGATTGTGGTCCTGCTCTGGGAGAAGGTTCAAGAAGGCTGCCTCTGGAAAGACTTGGTGGATGGGGACCACCAGCTGGCCCGGAGGGTGGGTTCAAGTGAGTGGTCCGTCAGCTCCTGACAGATGCCTCTGGGATCCGGAACGCTCCCAGCACCTGTGACCTGGACCCCTAGCACCCTGGGGCCCCTCACCCTCACTCGGGATCGCAGGTCTCTCTCTGATGCTGATGAAATAAAAAGCATGTAAAAGAAACAGGGAATACCAGGAAATAAAAACACAAGGCCTGCCTTTCTTCCTTTTATTTAAAGGGTTCAGTTCTGCAGGGCTCAGAACCAGCTCTGCTTTCTCATTTCTCCCGGATGTCCGTCTGGCCTGTGTCTGCGAGTTGATTGCCTGAGATTTGACAGTAATGATTATAATGGGGTGATTTTGTATTCTTTGACTCATTCGGATAGGAAGGTTCAGAAATGGACCTGTGACCCCCACTCCCCACCCCCTTGCTTTTGAAACTGGTGTTTTCTTTGAGTCCAAAGAGATGGCAGAGTCTCACGGAAGAAGATCCATGGGGAGAAATGGTCCTTCTCTTTTCGAACCTATTATTGATTACTGGTTTCTTTTCTTGGCTTGGAAACAAAGAACAAGTGCCATAGAAGCCAAGAAATGTTGTACATGACCAGGGAAATATTGCTGCAGAAACCGACGTGGGAGAGAAGTCTTTCTTGG